TTCTTCTAAACTCAATATAATTTTTAGTGTTTTTTAAATTTTTTATTTATTTAGAATCACCAAAGGCTAATTTAGTCCTTTACAGGAGGAACTTAGGGGTTTCTTTAAATATTCAAAAACTTGAGGGGTATATATGTATTTGCACATGTACTATAAGGATATATTCACACAATCACACATCTTCTCGATTATGAATAATATCACTTACTTTAAGCATAACTATTTTGGGGTGTTTTATAGGGAAATGATGAAAATATTTGAAAAAACATAAACAGAAAATTGAAAAAACTCATTGGATCGAAGGGATATAACTCATTATAATTAAAATGATTAAAAAATATTTTCTTCATCTCATAAAATTCTTCCTATTTACTATTTTGTGTTTTTCCAAAAAAAAAATCTCATTTTTCATTTTGAAAATTTTTGTGTGATTAATTTCCAATTACGGTTTTTACTCAATGATAGATTATACATTTTCATCGAAATGAAATTCAAAAAAATTATGAGATGGAGACAATATTTTATACGTAGTATTTCGTGAAACAAAAAAAAGAACAAGACACCTAAATTTCACTTCAAAACATCAAACTCTGAAAAGTACATGTCTTCTGGACATGTCTGCTTAATCGGCGGATGGCGTCAGAAATGGCATAGTTGAGTTGTCAGCACTCAGCATTCACTCTTATCGAAAAGTGGAGTTAGTCATTCCTCGTTTTTTATAATCCAGATGTCGGGACTTACGCTGACATAATCCTTGAGTATATGAATTTCTTTCCAAAGTCCCTAGACAGTTAAATATGAATTTCGGGAGTTAGCCATTCCTTGTTTTATTCAATAATGCTCAACACTTTACACAACAATTGTACTAAGGAGTATGCAGTACGTACAACACAGTGTCCCTCCCATTTGGCCATTTTAAGTCTTTTTTTTATAATTAGGTGTCAGGGCTTACGCTCCCATAATCCTATAGTTTATGAACTACCCGCCAAAGCCCCTAGACAGTTAAATCGAGATCTGATCACAGTCAGTCTCGTCAGTACTGACTCCAAAGGACGAATCCAGCAGGACTTACATCACCTTTCAGGCTGCTCCTCCCACCACACGAACCCGCTACCTTCATTACCATCATCTTCCTTCTCAGTCGCTGAGCAACTCCGTGAAGGTAGGAAGAATCATTGAGAGCAAGACCTCTCTCATCTCCCATTGGTGGGAATTGAACCCAAGACCTCCCACAAAGGAGAGACTTGGGGATGCATGGTCATCCATAGGACTACACTCACCTTCCCGTCATTTTAAGTCTTTTAACATGAGTCTGTTTAATCAAAATGACTGATACGTAATTTACATCTAAGTATTTTAACAACATAGTGTTCCTCCCATTGCAATTACATCTAATTATTTTAGACTGATTTCAGTTAAAATTCATCAAGTGATAAATTATCAAATTCTAGAATCTAATATTTTCTATACTCTCAAAATCATATTTATCAGTATACCACATCTTGTGATTACTTGGGCGGCTAATAAATTTTCGTAACATCGTGTATGAAATCAAAGTTATAGGCTTAGATACGTGTATCGGTTCACAAATACGGGTTCAAAAATATTTTTGTTTTTTAAAATAAGTCCAATACTTTTATTAAATTACAGATACGGATCCAATACGTATATGACGCATATCAGTGAATATCAGTATCAGATACGTATCGGATACGCGTATACGATATCAGAGTGAAATATCGGTGCACCATAACACACGATACATTAAGAGTCCGTTTGAAAACTTTGGAATTGACTAAATCAGTTGAAAGTCATGAAATTGTTGTTGAAACAACTGAATTGACTGAATCCATCGAATTATAAAAAATATATTTAAAGTATATTTTATTTATAAAGTGAATGAAAATGTATATGAAAAACGTCTTAAATGGACATCGACATTAACTTTAACCAATTTTGTCATAAAATTAACTCGAATCTTATATTAATTATTACATAATTTTGCAGTTGAAATTAAAAAAAACACTTTCTCTGTCTCTTACTATCTCCGTCCCAAAAAAAGATTCAAATTTGACTTTTTTTAGTCAAACAGTCTCGTTTTGTTCACTTAATTTGGATGTCAATTTTTAATTATGTTCTAATTTAAAGTTTACAACTTTGAAGATATTTTAACGTAGTTTATGAATATGTAAATTTTAATTATTAAAAATTGAATTAATTATTCATACAGAGGGTTGACTTTTATTATTGGTTGACCAAAAAATGTTGACTTTGCAAAACAAATTCGGACGGAGGGATCATAACTTTGCCAACTCAACTTTCTTTTTTGATTGTCCAAAAAACTTTGTTACTTTTCCTTTTAATCAATCAATTTGTGACTCATGTTATTTCTCTCTCGTCAACACGAATATCTATCACACATGTTTTACTTTATCGGTGTACATGCTGACCAAACTTGACAAACTTAATTGTAAGGGGCGATTGAAATATATATTATGTAAAAAAATTGACTGACAGACTGAAAACGAGTGTTGCTATTATTCCTTTTTGTGGTAGTTAATGTCATGGTCATTAATAGACCTATAACGTCAGTTTCAAGACCAACGTAATATATACTTCCTCCGGTTCTTATTAAAGTTCCCACTTTCCTATTTTGGATGTCCCTTATTTAAGTTCACACATCCATTTTAGGAAACAAAACAGTGCCAAACAGTGCCAAACAATGTCCAAACAGTGCCAAACAATGCACTCCACAGTAAAGTCAAATTCATTTTCTTAATATGTGTGAAGTCAAATTGGGAACTTTAATAAGAATCGGAGGGAGTATCTACCTATAACGTCAGGACATTTCTCGTCACTTACAAAATCCACGTTATAGGGCAAAAATAACCGACGTCATAACCTGTTTCTATAGTAGTGTTGGGGAGGGGATACTGTAGTGATGTTTATTTTTGGGGTTTTATTGTTTTCTAGTTTGAAAACAATATACTACTTGTTTTTTAGTTTGGGAAAATTTATGTTTTGAATTTGATTTCTGAAATGCATGACCTCATTTTTTTGAGACTAATTATTATTTGTAAAATATTATAAAAAGTTGAAAAATAAAAAATCATTAACTATTCAGAAATTTGTGAGAACATTTTTGTAAAACACTTGTATATATTAGCCATGACCTAAAAAATATGTGTCAAAACATCACTATTATCATTACTATACAACTTGCAGGCAATTACATATAATAATTACCATACAATTTCCAAACTAAAATTTCAAGGACATCTAAGTCGTATGTTAAGTCTGGGAATGGTTCGGTTCCTACATAAAAATAAAAAACCTTTATAGAACTGAAATAAGACTAAATGGTTCAGTTTTTGGTTTTGTCGTTTCGTGCAATAACTTTTTCTCTAAGAATAATATATACCCCGTACTCCGTAATTCACTTTCTACCATATAACATTGAAAATGCAAAACACAAAGCCCCATCTTTCTCTATTATCGTGGTGTTGCCATCGACAGACAATAAAATATACTCTCTCCGTTCCAAAAACAACTTCACATTTCATTTTCTACACATATTAAAGAAATAAACTCAATGGGGGTAAATTTAACTGTTTTGACACTTTTAGGATACTGTTTGGACACTGTTTAGAAATGTTTGACACCGTTTGACACTGTTTTGATGTAGATAATTTGCCAAATAAGAAAGTGGGAAGAACTGTGAAATTAATTTTGGAACAACAATTAAAGGAAAGTGGGAAGTTGTTTTGGAACGGAGGGACTTGAAGACTTTAAAAAGTCACAAGAAAAAAAATTACACTAAATTAGTATGGGTGACAATGACAATGACACAAGTAATTGATAATTACTCCGTATGATATACCTCCTCCCTCCGTCCCTTAAAACTTTACCAAGTTTGACCGAATCATGGATTAATAATGAAAAAATTGTGTGATTGAGGTTTGTAGAGAGGAGAGAGAATTAACTGGAATCACAAATTCTTTACTTAAAAAAGAAAATTGTAAAGTTAGTTGGACATCCAAAAATAGAAAATTGACAAAGTTTTAAGGTCCAGTGGGAGTATGACAAAAAAGTTGCTATAGACATGCACATTTTTCTTCATTTTATTAATTTGTGACTCACTCTTTTATGTGTGTGTGTGTGTGTGTGTGTATATATATATATATATATATATATATATAAATTAATGTAGTGATTTGTTTTGGATACAATCCTTAATATAGTACCTAGTACTCGTATTACCTTCGTCCCGCTATGATTGTCCCATTTTATCTTATCGGTCCGTCCCACTAAGATTGTCTCATACTGAATTTGGTAAAGTTTGTGTGACTCTAAATCATTTCTTACTTGATTCTTATTTTATCAATTCAATATCAATCACATAAACCACTTTTTATTAATTTGCGTGTCATTCCCTCTTGTCCCATTTTTAGCGGGACGGAGGGAGTAACATTTAAGGAAATATTGGAATAACTATTCAATGTAGTCACTCTTTGAGACATGAAGGCTGACACGATTATTAAGAAAAATGATATCATATGCTAGATATTGAATTGATAAAGTAAGAATAAAATAAAAGTGATTCAGAATCACATAAACTTTACCAAATTTAGTATGAGACAATTTTAATGGGACGTATCGAAAAGGAAAAATGAGACAATTTTAACCGGACGTAGGGAGTATTTAATATTTTGCCCAAAAATGCAAGTGAGAAAAATGTTTTAAAAGATATGGAATACACGTCACTCGTATATCCAAGTCACGACTTCAATTCGGTGTCATCACATGTTATTCATGGACAACAAGTAGTTTAACTCCCCTCATTTATAAAATTATCTGAATTTATGCACTATCAATTAACTCAAATATCAAATCTCTTATTAGATATAAGTAACTACTTTTAGTTTGCTTAGTTGAAAGGTTGTTAGCTGAGTCAGTTAGTCAGCTATTTGTATAAATACTGCACATATGACATTTTGTAAGATAGCTTTCATTTTTCTAATACATTCAGTTTTCTTTCTTCTTCATTTGGCCGACTATCAACAAGCTATCATGGTATCAGAGAATAGCTCAGACCTTCTTTCTTCGTAGACCTCCTCGCACAACAATGGCGCTTCCAGATCATTTGGTGAATCCAGCAAATCCTCTTTTTCTACATCCTGGCGAGAATCCATCTCTGATTCTCGTTACACCTCTGTTAGAAGAAAACAACTTTCCTCAATGGAAACACGATATACTGATCGCACTACAGACGAAGAACAAGGACCAATTTGTTCTCAACACCCTGCCATGCCCTAGCGCCACAGATCCTCTTTACGAAGCCTGGCGTAGATGCAACAAGATGGTTGTATCATGGCTCAGTCGCTCGATGTCATCATCAATTCGCCAATCCGTCATGTGGATTGAATCCGCATCGGAAATTTGGCGCGATCTCAGCGACAGATTCTCACATGGAGACAAATTCCGCATAGCTGACCTGCAAGAAGAAATTCAGAACTGTCGCCAAGGTGACCAAAACGTTTCTCAATACTTTACCCGTCTACGAACACTATGGAAGGAATTGTCACTATATCGAACTGTTCTAAAATGTACATGCTCACCTGCTTGCTCCTGCGGAATATTAGCAAAGATTCAAAAGGAAAGAGACGATGATTACATTATCAAACTTTTACGAGGTCTTAGAGAGGATTTTAATCAAGTTCGCTCTCAGGTTATGCTGATGGATACACTACCAACTATGACTCGGACCTTTTCTCTAATCCAACAGCAAGAGCGTGAATTTGGTGGTCAATCCCACTCTATTCCACAAGAAACTATTGCTCTTGCCACAATTACTCCTAACACTGGCTACAACCACCAGTCCAGAGGAGGATATATCACCAATCGAGGAGGACGATCTGGTAAACAAAACAATACAATGAGAAACAACAAATTTTGCACAAAGTGTAAGAAGACAAATCATACTGTAGACACATGCTTTCACATATATGGTTTCCCACCCGGTTACAACAAAAACACCAATGCTGATGCAAAATCTTCTGCTAATGTTGCTGGTTCTATAGCCCCCTTTGCATCTATCTCTCTTGTCAAGGAACAGGATGACCACCAGAATGCCTATACTTTCACCAAGGATCAATATAACGCATTAATGGCTTTAGTTCAACAATCTCAGAGTTCTTCCTCAACTGTCAACACTGTAACCAATCACCATGTGCCTAATCCTGGTATTAACTCTACTTGGATCCTTGATAGTGGTGCTACTGATCATATATGTCCAATTAAATCACACTTTACCTCACTCAATCACATTCCTCCTAAATCAGTCAGGTTACCCAATGATCAGTTTGTCATTGCTAAATTTTCTGGTATAGTTGATATCGGTGATATCATCTTACATGATACACTGTATGTTCCTTCTTTTAATGTTCATCTTATTTCCATTCCCAAACTAACCAAAACACTTAATTGTGTAGTCATCTTTTGTGAAACTGACTGTGTCATTTTACAGAAACCTACCTTCAAGAGGATTGGAGTAGCTAAACAACAGTCTGGGCTATTTCACCTTGTTCAACACATACCAGCATCTGTCAGTTCCACTCTCACCAACACCTGCAGCATTGTTTCCAATTCTATTAACAATGTATCCCTTGATTTGAGTACATTATGGCACTATAAACTAGGCCATCCTTCAAATCATGTATTGCAAACTTTATCCTCTCAGTACAAATCAATAAAACTTCCCTTTGTGCATGCATGTGATATTTGTTCATTTGCTAAACAGAGAAAACTTCCCTTCCCCAATAGTACTCACAGAACAAATCATTTCTTTGAGCTAATCCATGTTGATATTTGGGGACCTCTTTCTATTAGTTCCATTGAAGGTCATAAATACTTCTTGACCATTGTAGATGATTTCAGTAGGTTCACTTGGATTCATCTACTCAAACATAAACACGAAGTCAAAGTTCTTTTGTCCAGTTTCATCCTTTTGACTGAAAATCAACACAACGCAGACTCTGATTGGGCTACATGTGCTACTACACGCAGATCAGTTACTGGGTACTGTGTCTTCATTGGAGCATCCCTCATTTCATGGAAGTCCAAGAAGCAATCAACCGTAGCAAGGTCATCATCAGAAGCCGAATACAGGGCTTTGGCTTCACTCACATGTGAGCTTCAATGGCTAGAATACCTTTCAGATAGCCTACACGCAGACATTCCAAAACCTTACTCTATATTCTCTGACACTCAATCTGCAATAGCCATTGCCAAAAATCCCACTTTTCACGAAAGAACAAAACACATTGAAGTGGACTGCCATGTTACCAGAATCAAACTACAACAAGGATTAATACATTTACTTCACGTCTCCTCTGCAAATCAAATTGCTGATAGTTTTACAAAATGCCTGTATCCACAGCCTTTTCAACAAGCTATATCCAAGTTGGGCCTTTTGAATATTCATGACCCAACTTGAGAAGGGGTATTAGATATAAGTAACTACTTTTAGTTTGCTTAGTTGAAAGGTTGTTAGCTGAGTCAGTTAGTCAGCTATTTGTATAAATACTGCACATATGACATTTTGTAAGATAGCTTTCATTTTTCTAATACATTCAGTTTTTTTTCTTCTTCATTCGGCTGACTATCAACAAGCTATCATCTCTCAATAAATAATGAATGTACTTCATCAATCTTGTTTTTTCTTTGCATTTCGCCAAGAGTCAATATTGTCCACTCTCCACACCTTATTTGCACATGACTAGTGAATTTTGTACGCAATTATAAAAAATTATTTCATTAATTATTATTGTTTAAAATAAATCTTGGGAACCAGTTTCTATTGTCAAGCGGAAGTGACTAGTGAGTCTAGGGTAAGTTTGGTTACGCGAAGATCTTACTTAGATTGGATGACAGATTCCGGTGCGGTTCCTAAATGCGTCAAGCAGGGACGGCATTGTGGGTTCCTGGGTGTCTCGGTAAGGTTGGAGAATGACGGCGTTGGGATTCCGGTGTGGTTCCTAAATGGAATATTCGCTTATTTGTAAAGGATCCATGAATTAAAAAATCGTGTTTCGTGTTTTTTTGGGCTCAAGGAAACTCTAACGGTTAAAACTTCAGATTTCTTTTTCATTTTATATATTACCTTTTGGTGTCATATGTAAGATCATAATTTTTTTTTTTAAATTTGGAGAACAAATAAAAAAATTATAAGAGTTTAAAATAAATTGGGATTTGAATGACGTCAGCAGATCGCATCCGCAATGCCCAGGAGCGGATCGTTTTTTCTTTTCTTTCCTTTTCCATCTTTTCCCTTGTCAAACTACCCTCTCTTTTTACGCCCTTCCATCCCCTTTCCCATTTTTAATCCCCTTTTAATCCTACACTACACCAAATTAAGTCATCTTTAATATTTTGATTTCTAATCCTACACCAGTCTCAGCCTCAAGCCTCCCATCCGCCTATATAAGGGTGCAAGTCTTTCCTAATTAGTCCCAAGTATATCAGATACCCAAATGCCATAGTAATTGTGAGCAAAGAAGTATCCAAGAAAAGCCCAAAATGAAGACAGCCTTTGTTCTCATTCTGCTCCTCTCTGTTGCAACATTTCTCACTCATTCATCATGGCTTCTTCTTCCTCCTCTTCTTCTCTTCATGGGGCTTGCTTTCTATTGGTTCAATACCATGTGGATTCAGCCACAGAGGCTGAGATGGAAGATTCAGCGGCAAGGAGTCAAAGGGCCTAAGCCTTCTCTTCTGTATGGGAATATCCCGGAAATGCAGAGGATTCAAGCTGCTGCTGCTGCAACTTCCATGAAAGCTTCAAGCTATGGTGAATTTGTGGCGCACGATTACACTGCCAAGCTCTTCCCCTACTTTGAACAATGGCGAAAAGAATATGGTAAGATTTCTTCTGCACTATCGTTTACATACGCCCGTTTGCCCAAAAAAAGAATTTAAATTGCTTAACATTAACATTGAAATCGGTAAAAATAGAATTAGAAATAAATAAAGTTTCAAAATAAAATCAAATACGTTGTCTTTGACTTATTACATCATACTCCGTACATAGTATTGAAAAGAATAAAATCCCAAGAAGCAAAAATGTTTTTTGTATCCACCATTATATTCACTTTTATACCATCATGTTTGAGCAGTTTTTTTTGTCTAGGAATCCATAAAATTTTGCACAAACAAAATAAGACATATTTTGTTGAAAGAATACAACAAGAATTATTGCTCTAGAAGTGTGTGGACCCTACTTTTGGGAAAAACAATGTAACTCTTATTTGACTAATTTTCTCTATATAATGCTTCACTTGTCCCTCTTCAAGTTTAAAGGTTAGTATTTCTCAAAAAAATGTGATTTCTCTAAATACGAACATTATATATTCCGTACTATATTGCTCCCTTCTTATTTAAAAATTCATTACAATACGTTTGAAATTTGAATACATTATTTAATGATGAAATAGTAAAGTAATGAATAATTTTAAAAAAGTAGAAGAGTGAATGAAAAAGTATGAAAGATAAGATAAAATGCAGAAAAAATAAGAGTAGTTAAGTACTTCGTTCGTTCTTTTTTAATTGAAATGACCCACTTTTTACGTTTGCTAACACATAAGTTTGTTTGTCTTCCCGATTGAATTTTTAGCTGAAATTTGGTATGAGTAAACTAGACTTAATGAATGAGATCCTTAAATAATTTCATCAAAAAAATCCACCGGGAACCACCCCAAATGGCGACAGCCGGACAGAGCCTTCTATAAAAGGGGTGATTTGCACTTTTTATGTAAGTTCGAAAGCTTATTTGGTAGTTCTCACCCTTTTTAGCTGTATTGGTTAAAGTTAGTGTAGAGGATCATTTTAGCTATTTTCTCATATAATTTTTTCTTTATTTTATTAATAAAAATATTTCAACCAAGCATTCCAGCTCAGATGGTTGCGAGGTTACCGTGCCTAGTGAGAGGTCTCGAGTTCGAAACCCGCTAGGCACATAAAAGATTTGAAACTCAATGGAGTGAGTTTCAGCCCTGATTACTACAGCCCCCCACACCCCTCCCGCAGACCCCCTTGAGTAAAAAAAATAATAAAAATATTTCAAATATAAATTTTTCTTAAACCGGCAAAATCGGCCAATCTAGCTACTTCAGTTAGAATTTCATACTTTCTCCGTCCCTTATAACTTTGCCAACTTTCCCTTTTTGGATGTTCACTAACTTTGTCACTTTGTCTTTTAAGTAATTAATTTGTGTTTCCAGTTCATTCTCTCTCTTTTCCACAAACCTCAATCACACATTTTTTACTTTATTATTCACCGTATCGGTCAAACTTGACAAAGTTATTAGGGACGGAGGGAGTAAATTTCAACAGAAGCAGCTGATTTAGTCAATTCCAGTGTTCCCAAACGGGCTATACACCCGTCTGTGGCAACTTTGCTAAATTTGAATTAAGACATAAATAAGAAAAATATAAGTTTTGTAGTTGAGGTTTATCCGAATAATAGAGAAAAGAGCATAATCACAAATTTATTACTACCTCCGTTCCTATTAAAACATCCAAATAGGTTTGGCACAGAGTTTAAGATAGTGGGTATTGTGTGGTGGAAAGTTGTGCAGAGGAGAGAGAAATGTGTAAGAAATGTTGTGAACCACAAATTCTATACTAAAAAGGGAAAGTGGAAATTTTAATTGGAACGGACGAAAAAGGAAAGTTGGAAGTTTATTTAAGAAAGGAGAGAGTATTTTAATTGGAAAATGACAAAATTCTAATGACTTTGAAAAAGAATAAATAATGAAGTAGTACGAAGTAGTCTGACAAGTTATTTCGAATGGTTACTTTAAAAAGTTAAGAAATGAAGTACTCCGTAGTACTATGCTACTATCGTACTTCATTTCTATCCTCCGTATCATAATAATTGCAACATTGTAATTTACACAATATTCATGTACTATACTTTGATTACATATTATTTATTAATGTATGTGAATTATTTTTTTTCAAAAAAATATTTTTGAATTCGTCTCGGTACAAAGTTTCATAATCTGATTTTTAAAAGTTTTTTTTACTTATAGAGAATTAAATATAATGAAGGTCAAAGTTGTGCATTGATAAGCATGAAAAAGAAAAGTTGTAACTAAAAAGAAACGAAGGAAATATAAGAATGGAAGGAAATGACAAAAAAACGAGACTTTTGAAACTCTCCCGTGCAAAACACAGGACTCAATTTTATGGCACAAACACCTATTTCGAAGCCCCCTTTCCGAGTGAAGGGGATGGGTACTTGGTTGGGGAGGTAGGGTGGGGTAAGGTATAAAATAAAATTGCATTTTTCTTTAAAGTGTTATAACATTTTTATTTGTATTCTAATTAATATGAAAAATATATCAAAATTCATAACCTTTTGTGATATTAAAAAATTAAAGTTTCAATTGTTGGAGGTTTTCAGATCCAATTTTTTTCTTAAATAGATCCAATTTCTAAAATTAAGATCATGTTGTTTACGTAATTGAAACATGTAAGAATAACATTGAGATCTTAATTTTAGCATGTCAAATCTTTAAAAAAAAATTTGATGTGGAAAGCTCTTTCTACTCAAACTTCACATTTTTAACTTTAAAATTCATAAAAAGTTATGGATTTTAATTTTTTTTATCAATATTGGTGTACAAATAAAAGAGTCACAACACTTTAAAAAAATATAGAGTATGATTTTATTTTTCACCTAACTTTTCAGGTTGGTCATGGTCACTCTGTGAGTGGTCCGATTAGTCTTTGGTCAGATTGGTCATTGGACGATTTGGTCACTGGTTGAGTCGGTCATTGGTCGGTTTGGTCACTGATCGAATTGGTCATGATCGCCGATCGGATTTGTCATTGTCACTTGTCGGGTTGGTCACTAGTCAGATCGGTCAATGTCATTGGTTGGGTTGATCATTCATGCGTTTGTAATTGTCACAGATAGTACTATGTCTCATTTTTGGATTTTTTTAAAATGATTTTATTTTTGTCCAAAACATTAATTTTAGCATTATTTTTTAAAAAAAACTTCCATAAGAAAACACCTAAATATACGCACAATTAGACACACATATTATTAAAAATACTTTATCAGTATTTTTAACGGTTTACAAACAGTTACTTAGTCACATATTAACCCCGTTCCCATCTCATCACGATGCGATCATGTCAATGCCACATCATCGAAAAATCATCACATCGCCCAAATTATAAGGTACATCCGGGTATATAGGTATACCTGGTATTTTTGTAATATATACCAATTTTAAGCATTTCAATCAATGTTTCCCTCATCCCTAATCTTTGAATTGCCGATCACTTCCTCGCTCAGTCATCCACATAGGATCGTTGAAGCTGGCAGGAGGGGAAGGTGAACTGGCGGACTCTGCAGCTGCTCTGGATAACTCGACTCCTCTGCTACGCCACACATCAAATCTCCAAAAACGTCACTTCTTCTGTTGCTAAAATCATCCCCCGCAATTGTTGCGTTTTTCAGAGCTTGCAACTTTCTCCTTTTCACCCTTTAACTCATAGCTTTAATGATTCAATTAGTTGAATGTTCAGTTTTATATATTAATACTAAGCATATTAGAAATGAGTTTTATTTTAAACTCAAATGTGTTAAATATTTTAAAAAATGAACATACATAAAGAGCTATTGAATTTTTGAATACTTATTTTGTAAGTTATGTATATCCATTTGGTACTTATGTTATGTTCATTTTAAAATATTTTATCAATGCATATTTAAAAAGTCTCATATTACATTAGATTCATATAGAAGTTGATTATAGACACGAGACCACAAAAATTGATACTCAATCGCACGTTTCTAACACTCAATGACGAAGGTTTGATGCTCACTGAAAATGTCTCGATGCTCAAATTCAGGCAAGTGCATTAATCCTATTTTGGCAAGAAAATAAGGAAAATTTGGTGTACACTTTTAGCACACTTGTGTGTCTACACAGGCAAGTGCTATATTTCAATATGAATTGTCTGTACACGTACACACAATTCTGTCCTTATACACAGACAGCTGTGTCAAAGGTGTACCCAACAAGTGTACGTCATGCTCGGCTTTTCCAATTTTCTTTTCTGTCCATCGCAAAATAATCTTCACTTTCTTTATTTTGGTAACCAATGTGTGGTTCAAGTTATTATTACACATTTCTCAATCCTCTTCCCAACACTCAACCACAAAATACTCATTATCTTAAATTCTCATGCCAAATGTACTTTTTAAGGGCGTGCCGAATATACTTTGAAAAATAATTTAGGAATAGAGGGAGTATTTAACATTTTTTCCCTTTTATAATCTTGTGTAAATTAAGTTGTAATTGCAAATTAATTAGTAGATAGAAAAGTGACCTTTCATACTACAATGATTACAATAGAAACTTTAGCGGTGAGGAAGTGGACCAACTCAATTGTGCCGACTCATTCTCCCCAGTGAGAGGTCTTGAGTTCGAAATTACATAAAGGCAGTTGTAGCCCTGTTTCTCCAACCCCCGACGCTCTGACCAAAAATAGTAATTTTAGTAATCATGATTATTTTTAGTATTACTTTATAATGACCATGATGATTCTACACTCATAGTTACTTTAGTCACATTTTCGTTCATATGTTTCATTTCATTAATATTTAAGAAAAGACTTATTATTGGAAAAACCAAGAGTGTCAAGTACCTTGTGATTTGATGTCATCTTGAGCGGATATTACAATATGTTTAGAATGATGTACTCTCTTCGTCCCTGAATTATCTTTCCAAATTTTTTTGTCCATCCAAAAATAATCTCCCGTTTTCCTTTTAATAAAGAATTGTGGTTCATAACATTACATATTTCTCTCTCCTCTCTACAACTCTTCACCACAACATTCTCACTTTCTTAATTTATGTGGAAAAATGTATTTTGAAAGATTTAGAGACAGATGGAGTACAAAAAACAAAGTAGTAAACTCTTTAGGAAAAGTAATCCATAAATCACAATGTGAGGAAACATTTGAGAAGATGTTCACGTGTAGAGAAAATTTCTTAAATAGAGTAAAATATAGACAAGTGTACAAATGGTACCATTATTTTTTTCTAAAACAAGACTTATTCACTCCTAATTTGAAAAGTTATGTACTTTTCATAAATTTGAAATTGCTTAAATAGGAATAAATTGTAAAACATACTTCGTATGTAATGTTCAAAATTAGGACTAAGTATATTTTCTACCCTAAGTAGAACTTATTCAATCCTATTCAAAAAGTAAAAGAATAAAAAAAATCCTTAAATATGTGTGCATTAATCCTATTTTTGGAAGAAAATAAGGAAAATTGTCCTAAATAGAATCAAACAAGCTTTGGAACTCCAATGTAGAACTGCTAGGTTTTTCTTTCAAAAATAGGAATTGTTACTGTCATGATTGAAAAATAGCACTTCATACCATTAATGGCGGGAAAATACAGCCATGTTAATGCCTAGTAGTGCAACTAATTTGACAATAATGACTCCAAAATGTCAGCAGATACTATAATGTTAGCTCCTATTTCGAGAAGAAAACATATAAAGTCCTATTTTGAAATTTTAAAACTTGTTTACTACTATTTCGAGATTTTTCCAAGAAAATAATGCAAATCTTTTTTGAGAAACTAAAATTTGCAATGTTTTTGAAAGAAAATTGTTTATATTGACATCATTAGTAGTGCCTCTCATCCATTCCATTAACTAATTTAAAATAGAAATGATAACACATAATCTATGTTTAACAAAAGAAGATGATTGAATAAGACTAGATTATTAAGTTAGTCCCTTGTATGTTGGTGTGATTATGATTATCATCATCAGGTTACATTTATTATGTTTTATGGTGTGTTTGTAACAGGTTGCATATATACATATTCCACGGGAAGCAAACAACATTTGTACGTGAACAATGCAGACATGGTGAAAGAGATGAACCAAGTCAATAGCTCGGCATTAGGGAAGCCTTCTTATGTCACCAAGAGACTCTCTCCTCTGCTTGGGAATGGCTTGCTGAGGTCAAATGGCCATTTATGGTCACTTCAGAGAAAAATTATTGCACCAGAATTCTTCATGGACAAAGTCAAGGTATTTCAAAAGAAAACCCATAAACACATTTTTTACGGGAGATTTGCAATTTTAGCCCCATAACTTTCAGCTTTCTTTTGAGTTTTTCATACTTTTACCTCTCAATAGGAGTGACTTGATTTGACGCTAGAGTAACTTTTATATAACTACACTTGATTTCACATGGATCTATCCACATAAGTTTTAAGTTTCTATGATGTATAATTAGTATTCATTACCATTCTTATGCTTTTGCTTTTTGCTTTTATTCTCTTATACTAGTATTATTCTCAAATGGTTTTGTGTGAATTGCAGCATCGAGCGGACTTGATGTTGGAATCGACAGAAGAGATGGTTAGGAAATGGGATAACAGTGTTGATGCTCAAGGAGGAGTCATTGCAGAGATTGTAGTGGACGAGGATATGAGGAACCTTTCAGGAGATGTAATTTCCAAGGCTTGCTTTGGAAGATCTTATCACCAAGGCAAACAAATTTTTTCAAAGCTTAGAACATTGAAAAATATCATTTCATCACACAGTTACCTCTTTGGTTTCCCTACATTATTAGGGTATGTATGTTTTTATATAGTCATTCTTTCTTTCAAACATTTCTTACGGTGACAAAATATGAACTAATAAACTACGTAGTAATAAACTACAATATAAAAGTACCGGTTACTCCTCAATCATAATTATAACAAAAAGATATGATACAGGGCTATTCCTCTTTTCATTTTAGGATTGAACGTCGAGTCTTAATACATTCCTTTGAAAATTTTGTTTTTACCCTGTCGCCTAATCAATCATGCTTGACAAAATTTTGTGAAAATTACAGAAAAAACAAAGGGATTGCGAGTTTGGAGTTGGAAATAGATTCCTTGATATGGAAAGCGGTGAAGGAAAGAGATTCATCTTCATCAGAGAAGGACCTTTTGCAATGCTTACTAGAAGCTGCCATTAATGATGAAAGTATGGATGAGGATTCATCAAGAAAGTTCATAGTTGATAATTGCAAGAACATATACTTTGCAGGGAATGAGGCCACCGCAGTGGCTGCATCTTGGTGCCTCATGCTCTTAGCTCTTCACCCGGAATGGCAATCTCTCATACGCCAAGAGATTGACCAGCTATGCCAAAGCAATCCACTAGATGCAGACTCAATCTCGAAAATGAAGGTGGTGGCAATGGTGATCCAAGAAGTTCTTCGTTTGTACCCACCAGGTGCATTCGTGTCTCGAGAAGCCCTAGAGGAAATAAAGATAGGGCACATTGTGGTGCCTAAAGGAGTGTGTTTGTGGTCATTGATCCCAACATTGCATCGGGACCCGAAGGTATGGGGCCCCGATGCAAATAAGTTTAAGCCTGACCGGTTCGCTAATGGGTTATCTAGTGCATGTAAAATGCCTCAAGTGTATCTCCCTTTCGGGTTAGGTCCTCGTCTTTGTGTAGGGCGCAACTTTGCCATGTTTCAGCTCAAAGTTGTGATATGTGTTATCATCTCCAAGTTCTCATTTTCGCTTTCCCCGAAATATAAACACTCCCCAACCTTTAGGATGATTGTAGAGCCCGGGGAGGGAGTGCATATTCTCATTGAGAGGTTGAAAAGGGATGGTTGAAATTCTTTGCACTTGGTTTGCCCAAGATGAGATGTACCCAATAAAATAAAGTTGGGGTAATTGAGTCCTAGTTTAGGGGTACTTGTTATGTGATTTTATGTATTTTCTAATAATCTTATTATAATGAAGCGGTCTAGCTCACTGATCACCGAGTTACTCTTCCATATGGGAAGTCTCGGGTTCGAAATTTCATGGAAACTGTTTCAACCCGAGGTAAATAATAATAATCTTATTTTAAGAATCTTTTAATGCATGATGCCTCTGTTGATTTGTTTTGTTGGTTTGAAGTAATTAGGTAGTAATCCTATACCATATAAACTAGAAAGTAGTAACCCAAAATGGCAACATTTAAAGTTTTAAACTAGAGCATGTGAGGTTTCAGTCACTCAAATTCGAGAAACACATTGAATTTATGCGTAAAAAATAGTACGTATGTGTACTAAAGTAGAAAACACTTTCTATATGGGTTAAAAAGAACTTTTTATGTCGGTTCCTGTAATGTCATAGTAGCTAGCGATATAGAAATCCGGGCCCTTTTCGTGTCGGGTAGTCGTACCCGTTATAGAATGTTTTTTTATAACGGTTACGAATTTAACCATTATCGAATGTTTTCCGTGTCAGTCTAGTAATACCCCATATAAAATCCTTTTTATATGGGTTAAACCATTATCTAGTTTAACCGTTATCAAATGTTTTCTGTGTGAGTTCAGTAATACCCCATTTAAATTTTTTTATATGGGTTAAACCACCAACCGTTTTTGAATGTTTTTAGATAGTAAACCATATATCCGATAGATTATGCATAATATAATTTTTTTATATACTGTATCAACATAATGAAATCATTAAATGAGAATTATGACAAATATATTGATAATTGTAGCAAAATAAAGTGTTCCACATAGTACTAGCACCAATCAATCCAAGCCAAAACTGCAAAGTTTCACAAGTTCATGCAAGCCAAAACTACAAAAGTTTCACAGGTTCTTGCAAGTCAAAAGTACAAAGTTTCACATGAAACCAACACTATTCATTCTAGACATCAAAACAGAATCATATTTGTTAATAGCAACCCGTACTGCTTGTGGTGTCACAAACAAATGACGCACAATGCTCTCTTGTCTCGGTAATGTCTTGTGGACAAATGAATCTTGAACATTGAATGTCTGCAAATCAAAAATAAAAATAGAAACACATTCAATAAAATATGAATATGAAAATAGAAGTAAAACTTTGTCGTAAAAAATATAATACAAGCGTAATAAGTATAAATTTAATGAAGCACAAATCTAAAAATTCATCACCTCAATCTATGAATCAACAACTGCAGATATTATAATCTTCATGTGCCTCATAACATAATACCCAAACTCATAGGTACCCCTTTGCACTCCAGACTGCAAATAGAGGTACATGTAAATATTATACTATAGCATAAAAACAAAGTCGAAAAATAATACACTAAACTAACTAGCCGGTTTCAATACTCAAAATCTTATTCTTAATGAAATAACTATCTCCATGCTCATTATATTTTGCTGCTAAAAATATGCCATTAACAACCATATATAAAATGAAATAGCCCACTCCATACTCAAAATCTGATTCTTAATATGATTCATAATCTACACATGACATGATGATTATAATGTTCTTCCTAAAATGATTCAGAATCAACCCAAGTGCATAAAATTATAAAAACTTATACCAGTGATGATAAGTATGATAAAATATACTTACAATCGGCTTAATCCATCTTGCTTTGGAATTCCTCCTATTTTTTGTTATTTGATGTGCTTGCATTGCCCTAGATAAAAAACAAGAAATAAGTCATGCTATATGATGGAGTATATGGCCCGGGAACCCTCGGCCCACAGACTCCTACTACTCCAGCGAAGGCCCAAAAGGCCCAAAAGGCCCAACAGGCCCAAATCACAGCGCCCAGAGTACCAAGCAGTCCGCACTACGCGCCAGGGGTGCCTTCGGCCCCCTGGCCGAAGGCTCCAAATTCTCACAGAACGGGTTTCTCAAGCAAATTAAGAAACTGGGAGAAAACGGCGAAAACAGTAGCCCTCGGCACTGTGAGCCCTCGGCACCAGAGGTGCCATCGGGTGGAAGAGCCCTCGGCTACTGCTCTATAACCGAAGGCATCTCACTCGACAAGATATCCGCCTCACATGCGTACAGATCACCGTACCCCGCACAGACGTCCCATCCAACAGCCGCATTAAATGCGGCCACATGCGGCTGCCAGCGCCAACCAGTTGAGGTGACCCCTCGGCCAATGAGCGCTTGACACGTGTCCCTGCCCGGCATTTATTGCTACTATAAATAGCACCCCATTTCCTCATTTGTAACCACGCTGAAAACGGCACTCATACTGAATACACTCTCTCTCTACTTTTATTTACTTGCTCTGACTTCTCTCTAAGTTATTCCCCGTAATAACCCTTCGGATATATACCCCCGGGTAGACTATCCATCATTTGGTGCTCTCGTTGAGAGGTTGAACAATCGAGTAAGAAACCCTCCCCCTCGACCAAACACAAAACACTAGCCCTCTATCAAAATGGTGAGGACAACACGTGCCAACTCAAAGAACGTAGAAGACAAGAACCTGGCCCTCGGCGACGTCAACGCCCCCGAAGCCTCTCACAGGGCTCCCGAGGGCGGTGTCATCGCTGGGCTGGAACAGGCGGCTGTCGACCTACGCCTTCAGATCCAACAAAATGCCCCCGATGCCCGCCTCGGCATCGAGGCCAAGAAGAAAAACCGGAGCGATGACCAAGTCAGCACTCCGGTTCTCACCATCGACGTGCAATCGGCGCTCTCCGCCTTCATCCAGACGCTCACCCAGAACCCGGGTGCCTTCGGCACCCTGGCTCCAGCTCACCCTCAGATCGGGGAAAATATCATACTTCCCCCTCTGCCACACCCCTTCGGAAATCCCACCCCTCGGGTGAGAAACGACGAAGGGGTGGTGGCCCAAGATACGTCCTCCCAGGAAGTTCAGTCCCGGGACCGCCATAATGACAACAGGGAAAGGCCCCGTACATCCGCCCTCAACCGGCTCGGAGGAGGGCCAGACCGCCGAGGGGTCCAAGACCGCCTCGGGGGGAAAGCACTCCAAAGGCCCCAGGAAAGCGGGGGATCTGTTTCGAGGGCAGACGAGGAGTGTCCCCCTCGGGACAAAGGCAAGGCACCCCTTCACGCCGATGATGCTCGGCACCAAATCAACCAGGCCCACTCGGCCCGGGTTCGTTCGCAGGGGGCGGAGACCCTCCCGAAGGATCCCCGGGACGAGATTATTGCGGCCCTCCAACGCCGGCTTGACGAGATGGAGTCCAACAAACCTCACGCCACCACCTCCACCCCTCATTCAGATCTCAAATACGAGGCCATGATGGCCAAAATGGAGGAGTTACAGAAGAGGGTGGCCGAGGGCTCCGGGGAACCCGTCATCCAGCTTCGGACTCGGACGCCATTTACCCCAAGGGTATTGGCGGCCCGGATCCCGGAAAAATACCGAGGGCAACACATACAGCCCTACAACGGGAAAACGGACCCCCAGGAACACTACAGCAAATACCAGAACAGCATGATGATGGTGGGGGCGTCAGACGAATACTTGTGTCGATGGTTCCTCTCCACCTTAGAGGGACCGGCATACGAATGATTCAACAGGCTGCCCGAGGGCTGCATTGATTCGTGGCAAGAACTCGCCCAACGATTCTTGACACAATTCGCCGGGAGGCGTCGCACAAGGAAGCACTTCTCCCACCTCCTAACAATACGCCAGAAGAAGGATGAGACCCTTCGGGATTTCCTGGAGCGCTGGAGGACGGAGGCCGACGGTGCTGATGACGGGACCCTCCTGGCCCTCCTACAAACCGTCCTCCGCACCGGTAACTTTTCAAGGAGCCTCATCATTGAACCCCCCCGCGACTACATAAGGGCTTTGCAGCGGGGGGACCGATATGCTGAGGCCGAGGAGGTGGAGAAGTATCACCAGCATCCGGACCAGCAGCCTCCGAGGGCTAACAACAAGCATAACCGAGGGCTGGGGGCTCCTCCAAATCACCCCAAGGCTTCGGGACCCTCTGATGACCGCCCTCGGCAAGGCCAAGCCAAGCCCGGGGGAGGATATAAGAGCAACCCCAAGACTTGGGCACAGCCCATTCTCCTGGACCGCCCTCGGACACCAATGACGCACCCCATCAGCATCATCCTCGATTTTGCCGAGAAGAGGGGCCTCGTTGAGCGCGACTCTCGCGCACCCCCGGAGGTACACGCTATCAACCCTCAGTTCCCCTACTGTCGCTTCCATCGGCACCAGGGGTACAGGACCGATGACTGCCATCAGCTGAAGACGGCCATCGAGAGATTAATACAGGCGGGGCACCTGTCCCAGTTTGTCTAGAGCCCTCGGCAGGAGGGACCTTCTCATCAGGGGCCTCCCCGAGGGTACCATACGAAGGTAAATGCCTGGGTAAATCCGAACACCATCATCAGGGACCCCTCTTGCCGGCTTCACCGGCGACACTATTGATTCCGAGGGGGTAATAACCTTCCCGGTGATCTTCGGCGACGGGCTCCATAGAGCCCAGCTCGAGGTGGAGTTCGTCGTCGTCAACATTGACTACGCCCACAACATCATCCTCGGCCGGCCAGCCCTCGAGGACCTCGAAGCCATCATCTCCATGAGGCATCTCTGCCTCAAGTTTCCCGCCGAGGGGGGCATTGGCTACTCTCGGGGGAACCAGAAAATTGCCCGCGCCTGCTATCTTCAGGTCACTAAGAAGGTAAGCAAGACGGAATTCCGTGTTGACACCATCACCGGAACCATCGACCAAGAGGAAAGAAGGCCGAGGGCTGAACCGGCCGAGGACGTAGAAGACTTTGCGCTCGATCTGGCCCAGCCGGAGAGAGTCGTGAAGATTGGAGCCCAGCTCCCTGAAGATTTGAAGACCGGTATCACCGACGCCCTCCGCGCCTACTCCACTGTCTTTGCATGGGGGCCGGAGGACATGCCGGGAATTAGCCGAAGGGTCATCACCCACCGCCTCTCGGTGGACCCCTCGGCAAAAGCGGTGCAACAACGAAGAAGACCCCTCTCCGCCGAAAGGAGGGAATTTGTGAAGAAGGAGGTCGCCATGCTCCTCTCCATTAAGCACATCAAGGAGGTGAAATATCCCTCATGGCTGGCGAATGTAGTCCTCGCACAGAAGCCCCCTACCTTCCGCATGTGCGTGGACTACACTGATCTCAACAAAGCATGCCCTATGGATCCATTCCCTCTACCAAACATTGATCAATTGGTGGATGAGACCGCAGGGTGTGAGATCATGTCCTTCCTCGATGCCTTCCGAGGGTATCACCAAATTTTTATGCACGAGGAAGACGCCGAAAAAACTGCCTTCATGACTCCCGAGGGCATCTTCTGCTACCTAGTGATGGCCTTCGGCCTAAAGAACTCGGGGGCCACTTACACCCGGATGGTGGCCCGGGTCTTTCAAGCCGTCCTAGGGCGCACCATGGAGGCCTATGTTGACGACATGATCGTCAAGAGCAAACAATCTTCCAGCCATGCTGACGACCTCCGGGAAATCTTCGCCATCATGCAAAAATTCAACCTTCGGCTAAACCCGAAGAAGTGCACCTTCGGCGTCCAAGGGGGCAAATTCTTGGGCTACATGGTGAGCCGAAGGGGTATTGAGGCCAATCCCGAGAAGATCCAGGCCATCATCAACATGGAGCCCCCACGCAATGTGAAGGAAGTCCAACGGTTGACGGGCCGCCTGGCAGCCCTCAACCGCTTTCTATCTAAATCGGCGGAGAAGTCTCTACCCTTCTTCCAGATCATGAGGAAGACGGCTGGCTTTCTATGGACTCCAGAATGCCAGGGGGCTTTCGACGAGCTCAAACGATATCTATCTTCACCTCCTGTGCTCTCCAAACCCAAGGTAGGGGAGACCCTCTACCTCTACCTCGGGGTTAGCCCGGCGGCCGTCAGCTCTGTGCTCATCCGAGAGGAAGACGACATCCAACATGCCATCTTCTACGTTAGCAAGACCCTAAGGGAGGCCGAGCTCAGGTACTCCCCTGTGGAAAAAACGGTGTTAGCCATCGTTTGGACTGTCAAAAACTTGGGCCACTACTTTCAGGCTCACCCGGTTCAGGTCCTCACTCATCAACCCCTCGGCGCCCTCATGAGGAGCCCCACCAGCTCCTCCCGCATGGTGAAATGGGCTATCTTCTTGAGCCAGTACAACATTGACATCCGCCCAAGGCCTGCCATCAAGGGCCAAGCCCTGGCGGACTTTGTGACGGAGTGTACCGCAAGGGCAGCCACGGACGGGGAGCCCTCGGCTACCTCGGACGACTGGTGGACCCTCTACACTGACGGCTCCTCCGCGACCAAAGCATGCGGGGGAGGGGTAGTCCTCATTACTCCCGAGGGCTTCAGGGCCTACTATGCAATCCGCTTCTCCTTCAAGGTCTCCAACAATGAGGCCGAATATGAGGCCCTCCTATGTGGCCTTCGGCTGGCTGCCAACATGAGGGCTCGGCAGATCCACATCAAATGCGACTCCAAGTTGGTCGTTGGCCAAATCTCCGAAGAATATGAGGCCAAGGAGGGGAGAATGAAACAGTACAAGGAAGCGGCCAAGGAGTTGCTTAAGGTATTTGAGGCACACTCTCTCACTCAAATACCGAGGGCTCAGAACTCCGAGGCCGACATATTATCTAAGCTCTCGGCAGACTCCCCCGAGCACATCTCCAAAATTGCCAAAATCGAGGAACTCA